TCTGGGAAGAGTCCCTGGCTGCGGCCGCCTGAGTTGAGCCAGAGCTGTAGGCGCGCCCCCTTCCCTCCCGCCCCCGAACGACTGAGGAGCAAGGAAAGGAGGGGAGCTGAGGGGGAACAACGCATAAGGGTGTGTGTGTGTTTTGTTTTTAAAGAAGCTTTCTGTGAGTTTCTCGAAGTTAACGACAATTTTTAACCTGTAAACTGCCCAAAGGACCTCCTTAGAGGGCCTCAGGTTCCAGTTATGTACTGAGTACCTCAGAGTAGGTGATGAGGGGCGCGAGGTAAAATAGGGTGGGAAACGGCTTAGAGAAAGGGGGTGAAGAGGGAATCCTTAGCGAGTGGTGATTTTTTTTAAGACTTTCCCCCCTCAGTCTTAAAATACATTTGGCATTGTGACGGCATGCATACGTTACCGCATACATAGTGTAGAGACATTTCATGAAGAGTATCTTAACCACTTGGGATACACTCAGATATTTTCTATAATACCTTTAAAAATGCTTATCATGACCCACTAAACTGATATTGTAACCCACTAATCATTCACGACCAACAGTTTCAACAAAAATACTGGATTCAAGCAGAATCATGCATTCACTATAATAAGTACTGCGTTTTCTGCCATGCGCTTGACTTTAATAATTAGATTCCTGTCTTCTTGGGGTTCACAGCTTAGTGAGGGACACAAGAAAAGAAACAAAATGACAGTAGATGTCAGGGCGCTAGTACAGAGCCACCAAACCCTGACTTAGAGTGCAGATGTCAGGGAGCTTCTCCTGGGAGCCACAGCAGGAAAAAAGTTAAAATTATTCATTATACGGAAACCCCAGAGCCTGTTCTAGAACCTGGCTTACCACTTCCCAATTATCAGTTACAAATGAGATGACTCATAATTCGTTCTCAGAAGGTTTTCCACGTGTCTAGTCTCTTTTGCATTAATATTGATTATAAATACTTATGTTCACAATTTTTCCATTCTGGTACCCATTAGTTTATGTGTGATCCTTGAGATTTCCTCCAAAGCTGGATCTGGCCTCCTGTTTGGGGTGTGCATGTGTATTTAAATGGTTATTAGTAACCAGTAGGGATTTTTGTTCTCAGAAATGGTACTGGATCAAACATCCTGCATCCTGGTGATACTAATGATGAAACTCAATATTGTCTTGTTTTTGTGTGTGGACAAAAGCCCGCAGTCAAGGGCTACAGCATTAGGTGTTAACCAGAGTGAATAGGTCTACTTGGTGACAGCAGGACTATTCGTAATTGAGGACTACCCTCCTTGTGATAGTATATGTCTTATATTTCATAAATAAAATTAGAGTGAAGTCTGGCAAGTAACACTGGATGAAGGTGGAGGAAGGAGGGTGTAAACAGTGCTATACCAAAGGCAAAGTTATCATGAGACAAGGAATCTGAATAAATTACTGGAAAAAACTTTAGTAACAGCCAACTAGGAAAAGTTGTAAAATGGAAACTGTCATATATTTACAGATTCGGGTGCTGTGTTTACATTTGGAAAAACAAAATTTGCTGAAAATACTCCCAGCAAATTCTGGTTCAAAAATGATATACCTACATTTCTTGCATGTGGAGATGAACATACTGCTGTTATTACCGGTTAGTATTAAAATCCTAAATATTATAGATGCACTGTGTTTTAAATATATTGAAAATAATAAAGTGTTATTTTTCCTTTGCCAGATAATTCTTGACAATTTGATTCATCAATTGAGTCTTTTAAATTTTAAGTTCCCTTAGTATGTTGAAATATGATTTTTTAAGTGAACATACCATGATTTTATTGTCATATAATCAAACAAAATATGAAGCTTAGAACTGGGTCACTTGACCCTTTCTCTTCTTATC